CCGACGCCGACGGCACCTCCAAGCACGCCGACTACTACGGTGAGATTCGCCAGGGACATCACTCCCCACCGACCGCTACCACGCGCAACCCACGTCAAGCAAGACGCCAAGCAGCTCAAAAAGGCACGCTTCTGCCCAGCCTCACGGCGACAGGCAGGACCCGCGGGCACGGCAGCCCGACACACGGGTTGGCAGTCTGCTCAGGCGGCTGCCTTGACACCTCCCTCCCTCCCTCCCTCCCTCCCTCCCTCCCTCCCTCCCTCCCACCTCGATCAGCGCTGGACTGGGGAGCCAACCCCCAGCCAGCACAGACCATCTTCAGCGGCAGGTCCGGGGGGGCACGAGCGGCGCTCCTGGGCAAATAGACCAGAAGAGCCGCCCCCTGGCCCAGCAGCGGCCGCCACACCTCCAGGCGACATCGGCATCGACAACCATCAGCAGCAGGCCAGGGGGGGGCGGCACAAGCGGTGTTCCTAGGCGAAACAAACCAGAAAAGCCGCCCCCTGGCCCAGCAGTAGCTGCGACACGACCGTACGTCTTCCAGGGTCACAAGCAGCAATACGACACAGCCTCGGCTGGACCCTGGCAACTCCCCAGGGCCAGCCATTGCACCACTCGCCCACGGGGCTCCCACCATCATGAGGCGAGCACGACTCCCAGGACGCGGCCATCTAGGGCGAAGACTTCGAGCTCCCCGCGAAGCGACCGACCCGCGCACCATGGCAGTCCCTCGGCGCCCAGCCATTTCGGCTCTCAGTCGCCACCTCTTTCCTCTCCAGGAGGACAGCTCAAGATCACCACCAAGGAGATCAACCTACGCCAGGCTCAGCAAAGACTGACGCAGCAGCAGCAGCAACGACTGCACCTCGCCGAGGAGCTGCACCAAGCTCAGCACCACGGCGACGAGACGCTTGGACCCAGGCGACACCCCAGGGCCAGCGACGACCCCGAGAGCCCCCTAGTGGCCTTCGGTAACGGCATCAACCCACTTAGCATCCCAAACATTGAAGATACATACCTCGACCCACCTCTCCAACACCACAACATCCCACCAATTACCAAGCCCAGCCCTCCCGACAGACCCCACAGCAGATCACCGCGTCAAGCTACGGTCTCTACCTCACCCACCCATAGCTCCGACGACACAGCATAAACACTCAAACCTCCACCTACTACTTGCCATTACACAGCATCAACAACACCGCGACCACCTTTACCCACCCCTCACCGCGCAGCCGCACCGTGCAGAACTACCACGGGGAGGGCTACCCAGCCATTTCGAGCCCCCTCAGCCAAAATACCACTCCCACCCGACCTCCAGCAGCAGCCACCAGCACCAACCATACCACAGCCGACGAGCAGAGTCGACTTCCAAGCACGACCCACAATCAAACAGACACTACAGCAGTCCCAACACCCAACACTGACCTTCGAATTCCACGACAAAAGCCAACGAGACCGCAGAATAGATGTTGCGCCACTACCCGCTGAGACCACTGCACCCGAACGCCAAGTTCCACCTCTTCACCGACGGCTCCAAGCATCCCAAGCAGCCGAACGAAGATGCATGGGCAGTGGTCATAAATGAGGAAGACGAAGACGGCTTCACGTTCGGGAAGCATAAAAGCGCTACTGACATCACCGCGAAGGATAACAGCAACCTCGATACCACATCTACCACTATCGAGATCACCGCGCTCATATGGGCCTTCGCATGGTTCACCCACCGCAACCTCGACGACATCGTCACGATATCCACGGACTCGCTGGGAGCCTTGCAGCTCGCGAAGAGGGCGGCCTTCACAAGTGACGACCCTGACCTTGCGAGGACTCTCTGCATCCTCTACGACATGGTCAGGCAGAAGATCGACCTGCAGCACGTTCACGCCCACGAGCACAACCCTTGGAGCGAAGTCGCCGACGCGGCGCGGCCGCCAATCACGGACGCATCCGGCGGTACCAGTTCCACAGCAAGAATGGGCAGGCATCATGGACGTCACCTACCAAAGAGACTGGGAGTTCCTGATCGACGCCGACGAAAACACCAAGGAGGCCTACCCCAATTTCGAGCATGGCAGCCTCACAGCATCCAACGCCCCCACGGTCGCCAACGCCAGCCACCTCCACTAGCCTAGTGAGGCTAGCGAAAGAAGGACTGAGATAGAGATCAACACCGCGACCTTCAGCTGTTGAAGTTCAACATCCAGACTAGTCGGGAGCCTAAAGAAGGGGCAAAAAGATGAAACGAGAAGATCAACAACCTAAAGACCACCATGGCCAGCCTATATGATGAGGACCTACACATCATCGGCATTCAGATAGCCAGGACACCATGGGGCACACGCGACACAGACAAGGAGGGTGACGCCACCTGTGCCAATGCCAACAGCTATCACGTCACCTCCAGCGGCCACAAGGGATACAACTGCGGATGTGAGCTCCACGTCATTCTCAACAGGCTATACGGGAGACATGGCAAGCAAGAGCGGTACTTCAAGCCCGACCAGTTCATCGTGATCGTGAAGGAACCCAGGATCCTCGTCATCCGCGCGAGCGCGCCTGGATTCTCCCACGTGCTTCGCGTCGCCCATGCCCCCCACTCCAAAGCCCTTGAGACCGAGAAGACCAGCTTCTGGAGGAAGCTTACGAACGCGACAGAGGAATACCAGATCAGCATCATCCTGATAGACGCCAATGCCAGGACAGGGGGCATCACTAGCTCAGCGATCGGCGACCAAGGCATGAAGCAGGAGGAAGATCCAAACGGTCGAAGGATCCATGAGCTACTCCTCCCCAACAAACTTGCGGCCGCCAACGCGTTCGTCAGCCATGGGCTGAACACCACACCTGGCACTCAGGAAAGAACCCCCACCGTATCGACTACATAATCATACCCAAGGGCTACCTGGACTCGATCGAAGCGCGTTCTGTCCTGTACGGCATCGACAACGGCTGCGACCCCGATTCCAAGGACGACCACTACCCCGTCAAGCTGGAGCTCGAATACGAGACTACGTCTTCGACCTCCAAGGGCGCCCCCAAGCTTGACGAGCACAAGCAAGCCGACGACACCAGCCGCGAGAAGTTCAGCGACAAACTACAAGATATCCAGCACCCAACATGGAGCACCAACCTCAAAGACCACCCCACCACCGTCACCGAGCAGATCAAAGAGGCAGCCTACGAGTGCTTCCGCTCCCACGGCCGCACCCCACACAAGCCCTACATCTCAGATCGGTCGTTCATCCTTCTACGTGCCCACCGATCAGTGCTCAAGACGACCCGCATCATCAAGAACAACGGGATCACCAACGAGCATGGCATGAAGCGGCTCCGATACTCAGCACAGATCTTATCAAATGACGCCATGCTGCCCAACCCAGCTGACGTGGAGCACCTGTTCAACCTCGACGCCTACGCCCAACTCATCACAACGTCCATCATCTTCGGCACATCTACCCCCTCAAACAAGCACTCACCGCAACACCCAGAACCACAACGACACTAACCGACCATCTCGACAACGCAAAGCACTACTACGACACTACCGTCCAGCTCCTCAGCCTAACCAAGCCGACACTCAGAAAATGGATCGAGGAAGACCGAGATGCATTCCTGGAGAAGGCCGCTGACGAAATGAGTGCCGCCATCGACAACCACGCACCACGGCAGTTAGCTCTACATGCCAAACGACTGCTGGCCTTCGGAGGACAAAAGCCCAAAAAGCCGCCCACCCCCATCATCCACAGCACCGTTGACGGAAAACCACTCACAACCAAGATCGACATCGCCGACTACGCCCCGGCATACTACGGCAAGATCGAGATGAGCAAGACCACCGACGCCTACGGGGCAGCCATGGACTACAACAAGCGCACCAGCACAACACGACCGACACCAGGTATCCAGAATATCATGCCCAGACACCAGCTTACCAGCCAACTGGCCGCCGCCAAGAGAGGACGACGAGGAGGGCCCGACCAGCTTACAGACGACATGTCTAGAGCAGACCCCAAAGGGATAGCGCGTCTTCTACACCCTATACTGGTCAAGACCCAGATCGAGAGCACCGAACCCATCGCCGCCAAGGACGGGCACTCCACGCACTTCTACAAGGGACAGGGGGCCATGGAACACCAGAAGTCCTACCGCGGGATCCTCCTCAACAATACCACCGGTAAGATGCACAGCAGCTACCTGCGCTCCAGAGTGAAAGGCCTGCTTCCCAACCTTTTGGAAGCGACGCAGTGTGGAGCGAGACCCAAGATGGCGACCGACTTCATCACCCACACATCTCTCGCCTTCATCAACGATTGCCAAAGAAGGGCCAGATCGGGCAGCATCACCTTCCTCGACCGCAAGGAGGCCTTCCACTCTGCCATCAAGGAATTCTGCATGGAGCTCCCTACCACTGCCGACGAACTTAACGACCTCATCGAGCAGATAGACATTCCAGCCTTTCTAAAGCCATCCCTCATCGACAGATTGAAGCAGCCCGCCTACAACAACCAAATCAGCACATTTGCCGCATGATTGCCGACCACCACACCTCCAACTGGATGACCGCGAAGTGCGCCAAGCACTACCAACTACCACGGACAAGCACACGACCTGGCGTTCCCTACTCTGACGTCGCCGTCCACACCCACTTCGCCATCATGCTGCGGGCAATCGACCAAGCAGCCGCAGAAGCAGAAGAAAGCGACCAACCATCAGGAGGCCATGACATATCTGCGACACCTCACGAGGGCGGCGTGCTCAGGAACAGGAACATGTCCTTCGTCAACGAACTCACCGACTACAACTCGACAGCCAACGCCAGCGACTTACTACATGTGACGCGACTTTCAGCCACCAGACTGTGCACAGCAGCTTACCAGCATGGACTCTAACCCCACCCTGACAAGACCACAGCTAACCTCATGCACTACAGTAGCGGTGCCAAGAAAGAGCGCCAGAAGGTCGCCAGGGAGAAGGTCACTCACATCGAGCTATAGTACATGTCCATCAAAGTCCAGCTCGTGACCCAGCAGAAAGCCCTCGGCACCATCATCACCGCAGGAGGAGTCATGGGCCCCGACATCTGCCTCGGGGTCAACAGAACACCCGGCGCAGCAAGACCCCTCGAGAAGCAGATTCTCCGTCGCAAGAAGCTATCGGTTAAGGCCAAGATGAAGGACGTCCACGCCCTCTCGACCTCGTCGCTGACCTACAACCACCACGTATGGAACCACCTAGCCAAGAACGACCGCAACCACATCGCGACCAAGTCCATGGGACCTTATCGAATGGCGGCATCCATGCCCCAGACGAACACGCCCAACAAGCACTTCACCAACAGCGAGGCGATTGCGAAGACGGGCATCCCCGAATTCGACACACACCAGACGACAGCCCGTTTACGTTATCTTCCACGCCTCCTGAACCACGCTCCTGCCGTACTACTACAGCTATTCGACAGCCAGCGACAACAAAGAGGCACATGGAGCCACCTCCTGAAGCAGGACTTCGCTTTTCTCAGAAAGCACCTCCCACAAGACCGATGGCCAAGTAAGGATAAGCAGGACAGCGACATCATCAATTGGGCCCGACAAAGGCCCAAGCTCTTCACCAACGCGGTCAAGGCGGCCACCAAGTCCACTACACACGAGACCAGGCTCAGCTAGTCAGGTTCCAGAGGGTCATCCGAATGCCCATGGGCCACATCGAGCACCGTCGAGACAGAGAACCCCGACCACGACTCCAAGACCAAGTACGTATGCTACATCTGCGGACGAACGGCAACCAAACAGGGAATGGCAGTGCATATCGAAAGGGACCACCCCGACAACGAGAACCCTCGACGCTGGGCAACAGGTACAGCGTGCAGGTGCTGCCAGACGGAGTTCCACACCTTCCCGAGACTCCTGAAGCACCTCGCGGTGGCTCATCGCTGCCGCAAGTCGTGGCACGCATGGCACACCATGACGATGGAACCCCTCACCGAGCAGCAGATCGCCGACAACGTCGACGCCATCGCTACGACCACTGCAGCTAACAAGAAGAACGGCCGACAAGCCACATTCAGCGAGGTACCCGCCTACAGGATCGACATCACGCCCCTGCCACTCATCGAGACTTCCCCCTTTTTTCCCAAGGTCTACGCCGCTATCCAACCGACCGTACCCCAACCTAGCACACCAAAGGTACCTGAGCCAGCTGAACGACGGGAAGTTGTATTCATCACGGACCGACCTCGGCAGCACAGCGACCTGCACCAGATCATGGCAACCAGCACAATATCTAGCATGAGCGGGTTGGACTACCGCACGATCGACTCCAACTACGACTCCGAGGCACCGAAATCAGATCACGACCTCCAGCACATCCGCGACAGGATCACGAAAGGAGAGATCGCCGCCGTATACGCCGAGCTACCGAAAAATACCTGGTACAGCCACGACAACGCCGAGGTCACCACCAACTACGCCAGTAGCCGTCGCTCCAAAGCAAGGCCATGTGGACCAGCCGATGCCACAGAAAGGATCGCCATCGAGCTGCACGCGGCCAATTCCATCACTAGGGAGATCCTCATGACCATTCACGCGGCCGCAGAGGCCAAGGTACCCTTCCTCGCCATACACGTCGAGGAATCCATCCTCTGGACGACACCTGAGAGCCGCCACATTATCAGGCACACCTCTGCGGTATGCAGCATGGCCAACCACTCTGACATCGGGACAATCAAGACAGTCACCAACTCGGAAGACCCCATCCACGCGACCAAGCTCAAGGATACAGCCGCCGAGAACTTCGACTACACCGCAGCCGCCCAGCTCGACGAGATGATCATGGCCAGATAGGGCTTCAGAGTATCCAGCACAGCACCATCCAACGACGAGCACATCAGCCACGACGACCACGTCAACTACTGGGGCGAAGGGGACGACACCGTCTGCGACACCATCGACACAGACCCCAGCAGCAACCCCGTCTCGCCCCATATCTACATCCCCATCTATGGTTACGAGACTCCACGCAATTGTCATGGCTGCTGTACGGACTCCTGCGACGACATGCTGTATGATACGGAGCCTGGAGTCAGTATGCAAAGTCCTAGTGAGCCAACTCGGCCACTAGGCACGACGTCGCCATGTAAGCCGGAGGGTGTTAGAGCGCAAAGACCTAGTGTGCCACTGCGGCTACTAGGCACGTCGTCACCACGTAAGCCGGAGGGCGTTAGAGCGCAAAGACCTAGTGTGCCACTGCGGCTACTAGGCAACAGGTCGCCACGTGAGCTCGGAAGTCCAGCAAACGACACAGCTTCTGGCACTGATGGGAGGTATGGAACGACGGACACTACCTCTGGTACGGCTGACAGCACAGATGGAAGGTCGCTATCTCCAGCCCGATGGCCAAGCCGATGCACACCCACAACAGTGGAGCCCGAGAACGAGCTCGACGGCAACAACGGGCACCTCTTCACGCACGGCAGCCCGCAGCCAGAAAGCCGAAGGGCGGGCTGCCCCCACCACCAGAACGACAATGTCCAACTCACCACCACTGGCAGCCCGCAGCCACGAGGCCGAAGGTCGGGCTGCCCAAAAGATACGACGACCTCGAGAGGGAGAGGCCCAGAGAGCGGAAGAAAGACATACGTCTGGCAGCCCGCAGCCCAACAGCGGCCGCAGGGCAGGCTGCCAGACAAAAGGGAAGGTGCGGCACCGTGCCCCACGGCAGGCTCCCAGGGGGGAGCCGCCGCCTTGCGAGGCGGGCGAGGCAGAGCCGATGTCCGGCCAGGACGGCAGCGGCTCATCCAGAAGGTGGAGCCCCCCTCAGCTCGCGAGCCGAAGGGAGGGGGGGCCCGCGCAAAGACGCTGGAGAGAAGGTGGGGCCCCCTCAGCTCGCGAGCCGAAGGAAGGGGGCCCAACGCAAAGATCAGGGAGGACATGTTCGTCGACCACAACAGGACGACGGACTAAGGGCTACGGCGCGCGGTGCGCGCGCTGTGGAGCCCTCATCGAAAGGCTCGAAAGGAGGAGGTGGGAGGGACGCGGGACGCTCTCACTTTTTTTCTCTCTCTCTCTCTCTCTTTTTCTCTCTCTCTCTCTCTCTCTCTCTCTCTCTCTCTCTTTCGAAAAAGAAAATTTCCAAAACGAGGACCCAACACCACAGGATGGTTGGGAAAATTCAAACGATATTCCTCTCCGGATCGATCCAGGAGGGTCTAAGAGGGCTTTGGTCGCCAGCAAGTCAGCCCAAGATGTCCTAAGATGCCTCCAAGTAGACTCAAGATGCCTCCGAAGGCCTAAGATGGCCCCAAGATGACCGAAGATGGCCTCAAGACGGCCAAAGCGGCTCTCAAGACGCCCCGAGAGGACCCCCAGGAGAGCCTCCAGAGGCAAAAGTCATTGAATTCCACAATGTGTTGGGCAGATGTTCTAATTCTCGCCGTCTAGGACGGCCCAGAAAGACCCAAAGACTGGCCCACTACGGTCCAGAGAGGCACCAAGAGCACCCCAAGACGGCCCCAAGACTGCCCAACAGAACCCCAAGACAGCTCAGGAGAGCCCCCAGACAGCCCTAAAGGGCCCCAAGACGGCCCCAAGATGGCCCTGAGAGGACCCGAAGACGGTCTCTGAAGACGCCAGACGGCCCAGCAGCGCCGCCAGACGGCCCAATAGAGCCCCGAGATGGCCTGCGAGACTTCTTCCTGAAGGCGGGGAGAACGCGCAGTCAACCAGCGTGGCCACGCTTCCACTCGACATTTCACATCACAAGCGCTTCCAAAAGGCACGAGGCGGCGGTGACTCGACGTAGACATCTTCGATCGGAACACACGCATGTTTGCTCGTACTCCAGATTTCGTAATAAAAGGGAGGGGGTCTGGACCCTCCAAAACAAGCCATTTCAGACCTCCCCCGTGGGAGAACCCTCCAAAACATCGTCCCCAGACCCCCCAAGCCCTCCAAGATAGCCTGAAGAGACCCCCCCCCGAAATGAGACCCCCATCCCTTTATTACGAAATCTGGAGTACCCACCCGCGCATGCTGAAAAGCCAAAGGCGGACGCAACCACGGCAACGGCGGTGGGTCCACGCTGCCTCTTTCAGAGGCCCTCCGTCCAGCGGTCAGAGGACACCAGCAAAAAAAATGATGCGAAATAGAACGTGTGGACGCACATCCGAGACAGGGCAGGAAAGGAGGAAGAGGAAGAGGGAGCGGCCGGCAAGGAGGATGACGAGGAAAACAACAGGAGGAGAGGGGGAAGGAACGGGAAGCAGGAGTGGGAGGAGGACGAGGAGGACAATGAGGAAGAGGAAAGGGAGGGGGAGGCCCAGGAGAAAGAGATGAAGAAGAATGACAAAAGGGACGCAAAGGACAAGGAAGGAGGAGGACGAGCCCATACATCACAGGCCTTCGGAGCCAGGCGAAGAACCGAGGACACGGCTGGGGACAGAATGGCTGCCGCTGCTGCTGCTGCCTCTTCTATCGCCGCTGATGTGTCGCTGCCAGCGGCTGGAGTCTCTCTCATAGCTCGCGACGGCGGGGGTGATCGACTGGGGGGAGCCTGTCTCACGCCGCGTTGGCGTTCTTGGGAGAGACGGGGGCACCTGACTCTCTGCGATCCCTCTCCTTGACCTGCCAGTTTTTGCTGTGGATTGGCCCCGCCCTTCAAAGCGTTTATTGCCAGTGCTAGTGCTAGAGGAGCACGAGGACGAGGACGGCGACGAGCAAGAGGACCAGGAGGTCACGAATGAGGAAGACAGCGGGCAGGACGGACGACGAGAGGGCCGACGACAACGAGATGATGGAGGACGGCGCGGACTGGGACACCGAGGAGAGAGGAGCAGGGAGCACGAGGCGGAGGAAGAGGAGGACGAGGAGGAAAAGGAGGCGGAGGAAGAGGAGGACGAGGAAGAGGAGGAGGAGAAAGAAGAAAGGAGAGACGAAGAGGATGAGGCGCAGCAGCAGCAGCAGTCGGCGGCGCCCGTCCTGGCTGTGGAGCAGGCGCGCGACCGGCTCCACGGAGTGCTCGAGGGCGTGCTCCTGGGCGGAGGGCTCTCTCGGACTGGGCCCTCGGGGGACGAGGAGGAGGAGGAGGAGGAAGAAAGGAGGAGGAAGACAAGGAGGAGGAGGAGGAGGAGGAGGAGGAGGAGAAGGAGGTGAAGGGCCGCGGCAGAGGGGGAGATGGGGAGGGGGAAGAAAGAGAATGAGGGAAAAGGGAGGAGGAGGAGGAGGAGGAGGAGGAGGAGGAGGAGGAGCAGGGGGGAGAGGAGGAGGAGGAGGAGGAGGAGGAGGAGGAGGAGGAGCAGGAGGAGGAGGAGGAGGGGGATTCTGCTGGATTATGCTGGATTCTGCTGCCTTGCCACACACGTGGCCCACACTCCTCAGTCACTGTCACCGCTGTCCCCCAGCACCAAGCTATCAGCCTGCTGCTGCTGCTGCTGCTGCTCCTCATCGCTGCTGCGCTCCTCCGCTCGAACCCTGGGCGGTCCGCCTGCTCTCGAGCTCGCCTCCGCTCGGAGGCGCACGACCGTCTCTCTCAGGGCAGCGGTCGCAGCAGCAGAGGGGCCAGCGGGCGGCGGCGGCAGCGGGTCCTGCAGGGTCATCGCGTCGGCCATCGCGCACGGATGGCGGTCGGCCGACGTGCGCAAATACTCATACTCAGGAGCACTGAGCAGAGGCGCCATTGGCCTCGCCGACTCGCACGCTCTCGCAGTTCCTTCCTCCGAGGGCAAAGGGCCAGCTCTGCTCGCAGAATCACACGCCTGGGCGGCGCGCACACATTTGGGCGGGCCACGGTGCGACGGAAACAAGCCACGACGAACTCGCACCAAATTCTCCCCCCTTTCTTGGTCGTGGGGGCGCACTCGAACTGAAGCCTCCTGCCGTCAGAGGTGGCAGTGAAGCCGCAGTGCATACAAAAAACTAAATTGAACGCCTTCATCTTTGCCAGGAGGAGGAGGGGGAGTGGGGAGGAGGGGAGGGAGGAGAATGGGAAGGGAGGAAAGGGGTGGAGAGGGAGCAAACGGGGCAGAGGAGGGGGCAGAGGGGAAGAGAAAAGAGGGGGGAGAGGAGCAGGACGAGGAGGATTCGTCAGGGGTGTGGTTCACTTTGGATGTGAGCCCGACCGAGCAAGAGTTTCTCCTTTTCGTCCTCTCATGTTCCTCCCCTCTCAATCCTCCCACTCTCATGCCATCATCACCGTCGAACGCGATCCTCATATTCTGGTCGACCATCTCGCTCAGGGACAGCAAAGCTCGGTGAACCTGCGTCACTCGTAACCGCGCCGCGAGCATGGGCCCAGAGCCATCGGCCTTGCCACTCACGACCTTATCGCCCTCATCATAGAGCCTCTCCTTCGTGGCTGCGCAGTAGGCGCCCCCCAAGCCGTCTGACCGCAGCGGCGCCTTCGGAAGCCAACCCCCAGCAGGACCGACTCAGCTGCGCACGTGTCGACTCCGATGTCGAGCACGCGGTCGATCCTGCCCTGTTCCGCGCGTGCCACGTCGTCGGACAGCCCGCATGTGAACAGGCCACCGACGTTCTTCTCTCGTTCTGGCTCCTCGTAGTCGCATGGCCCCTAGGGCAACTCGCGTACCCCTTTGGGGCCCGGGGCACCTTCTCGAGTGACTTATTCGGGCCCAGGAGGCCCCAAGACGGGCCCAGAGGGGCCCTAAGAGAGCTCCAAGACGGTCCACGAGGACTCCGAATCGCTGCACGGTCGGTCCAAGACGCCCAAGAGGGCCCTAAGATGGCCCAAGAGGCCTTCGAAGCGCCCCAAGAGGGCCCAAAGAGCCTTCCCAAGAGGGTCCTTTCAATGCTTTTCGGGTCCTCGAACTTTGGAGCTTCCACCAACG